ATCTCGGCTCCGATGATGAGAGTATTGGTATTCCGTGATGACATGGATGCTCAAGCCCTTCACTGATGTAGACTAGCATCTGTTCACGGATACGCCGCCAGCACTCTCGCTGTCTCGGAGTAAGATCCTCGTCATTCAGCATAGTCGACCAGGACGTCGTTCGCGGTATACGTCCGAAGAGTCTTCGAGCTGCGTCACACAACGGCTTGACGTCAGCATGGAGCCCTGCCTTATCCATCCCCAGAGCACCAGCAATACGGTAAACGGCTTGGCGAGACCAGCAGTCCGCTTCTAACAGTTTCTTAGCCTTCTCCAGTCCAGACCGTCGATTGCAGTCAATCACCAGCCCCTTCTGGTCGTAAGAAAGCAAGACGCCAAGCACTGGCATAGACTCTCGAATATAAGGTTGCAGAGAGGCCCCCTGGGATTGTACGGACTGATGGACGAGTATAGCAAATTTCAAGACAGAGATTGCAAATCCACACAGGGATAGGTAAGATAATAATATCGATAGCAAGAATACGATCCTACATGCATCTTCCATTGAGAAGTGTAACAACAGATCATCAACAAAGTGTGCTATACCACTCGCCACCATATCGCATAACGTTGACGTACGGAATGATTGGATTTGTCGTCCGAGTGAACACTCGAGGGATTCCGGACCAAACAGGCATCCAAAGCATACTCGATGTGCTAGGTATCGTTTACCGTTGCCACAGTGCAAGGCAAATCCCGGTAAACAATTCTCATGGTCATAGGTACCACCATTCTGCGGATCGGTTGATCCGGACTGAGAAGGTTTGAAAGAACTGCACAGACGCAACATATAGAAGGCACTATGCACATCTGCAGTTACGACCACAGGAGAACTTGTTACCCGAAGAGTTGCTATCAAATCACATACGAGACGACCTTTGCTCGCTGTTCGAGTCGTTGCCCCATTATCCGGACCTCCCACCATAAACACTTCGCCTTCAGAATAGCCGTAAGGTACATTCTCAGTTGGCTTCCATAGGCCACGACTGACGTATCCCTCGATAAGCTCATCATGCAGCACCCGCGCTTCGGGACAGAGCTTCTCATGAAGACGATGGGCGTAATGCCGGATATGTAGAGGTTTGCTCAACGATGGGCAGCAGATAGACCATGTGTAGCGTTGTCCTACAGGAAACGGAGTCTCCTTCTCCGGCAGCTTGCGTAGCCCAGTCGCATACCCTCGGTCATCGGGCCCGAACGGGACGACATTACATAGGCTTTTGCATAACTCATCCAGAGGACGGACAGCACTCGACGGACATGGTAGGTTGACGAACGAGTCTGCTGATGGTTGGGTCGATCTAAGGTCGGGTAATGGCGTGGGCTCGACGCATCGCAGATAATCGTTAACGTAAGAACATATCGTTGGTTCTGTACGTGACATCTGAGCATCGAATATACAGACGCCTGACAAGAATACCCTTTCGCCACCATCTAAAACAAAGTGGAAGGACCGTTGTAGATCACGCCCCAAGAGGATAGGAGGTACATGTGAGCTACCTACACTGTTCTGGATAGGTAGAATACGAACCTCACACGACTGAGGGGGAGATACGACTTCCCCACTCGAGTCCTTCAGAACTAACTGTCCACAGAGCACCTCTGACACTCGGACGTGTTCTCCATTAGCGACCTTGACGGTAACTGGGCTTGCTTCACGAGGAGCGAGCTTCATACATTCTCCATCTACTCTAGAGATATAAGAGAAACCAGCACCAGAGTCGACAATGAGTTGTACATTATGATTATCGAAAGATCCGACGCTCTCTGCCGCACGGACTGGTCGAGCATCAATAGAGTGAGAACATAGTCGATCTTACGACCTGACCGAGATCGAGTAGGCGAGTCATCACAAAGATGTCTGAAGGGTCCGTCACCAGTGATAAAACCGTGGAGAGACTTTGCACTGCCACTTAAACAACCACCAGCATCGCAAAAAATGTCTACACTAAGATCAGAACCAACTATGACTGGCTTACTTCTTCCCACTACTGATGAGAGAGCCAAAAAAATAGCACCTGACATGCATATGCAGAGCTTAGCACAACACCACATGTTTCGTAGATCCCAACAGCCCAGCCCCGCTCACTCCATTCTTGCACTGTACGGACAACTATTCCTTTCCGCACCGCAATGCCCACTCCACCCTTCCTCTTGACTGGATTAACTGTGAAGGAGGAACATTGTCATAGAGATCCATGAAACGGTGGGAGGCTCCTTGAGTCTCTTGAAGGACTGCACAATAAAACAAGCTGCGTTCGAGGTCTCCCGCAATGAGACGAACGGTGTCAGCTGTAAGCCCACCAGTGTTCCAGGAGAGAAAATGCACCTTTGAGTAGTCAGGTGAGGGGTGACAGGCTCGCTTTGTCAGAGTCTTATTATAGAGTAGGTTAGCCCAGTCAGCGACTCGTATGACCCTCCACATGACGGAGTGAATGACCGGAAAAGGGAAAATCTTGCATTTCATTGCAGATTTGATCGTGCGAAGGAGTGGAAGATGAAGCACACATGCAAACAGTCCCTCTCTACTGCTTGGAGCATACCAACAGCTTCTGAAAGCCTCGTTGTAGGATCTTATGCCTCTTACAGCGGGTAAACTTTGTCGCGAGAGCCGAGGCTGTCCACACTCTTGACCCATAACCAGCACCCGATACAAGAAATGATGCAGCACAGCCAGTGTTCACTTTCGCCCAGAAGAAGAGTCCTACTAATTTCGCTACGCGAACGCCACTTAAAATTGTCCACACACACCAGTTAAGAGTACGGCGCTGATGGCGAGATAGAGAGCAACATGGTCAAAACAGGGGGAAGGAAAAATTTTCCTCGGGTCTGTTGCCGGTGAATCCTTTCCAGAAGGAAAAAAACGCTAAGGGAAAAAACGCTAGGAAAAAACGCTCCACGACCAACTTCGCTGGTTACCTTGTTCTGCTCCCTTTCCTTTTCCTTTTCCTTATCTTTTGCTCTCTTTCGGCTGACATTATGTGCTCCACATGCGTCGGTTAGCCACCTCTGACGGAATTCTTGAGAAGAAGGGTGCCGTGTGTTCAAGAGTATAGGTTCGCCCGACAGGTACTCCTGTAGCTGCGATGCCAGGGACTGACAATCGGTATCGACCGTAAAGGGACTGCCGGGCTGTACAGGGCGATATGGCCGATTTTGCACTGATACGACAGAAATGCCTGGATGTTGCTCGCCGCATGTTCGTTGACCAGATATATACCTGCGACATGTCTATCAAACTGCGCTGTCTGAGCCCCTGCATTGTAGAGAACGAGACCATTATCGCCCGAACAGGGATTCTCAGGTTCTTCGTATACCTCGACAACCAGCCCCGTAGTAGTTCTCAACTTTTTCCTTGCATTTGAGCGAGGGTTAGAGACGTTAAGAAGCTTGAAGTCCACGCCTGAGATATATCAAAACGTCGTGTGGCGCTGAGTGAGCTAAATTGTCCCTCTATCCCTACTGTGCCGAGAGCGCCAAAGATATTTACTTGTTCACGTCGTGAGCGCTGTGGCAAGAGATATTTTCGGGCTAGCAATCTTGCTAAAGACGTGGAAAAGTGCGACGCGCAGCCTTCATCCTCTGTGAGAGGTGGCTAGTAGGGGCTGGTTCCATCAGACGTTTTGCCTTTTGGGCTCAGCCTCTGGGGGTTTTTAGTGGGTATGGTCATGCGAGTCCCACAGTAGTCTTCTGAGGTCCACACCTCCTAAGGTTCTTCATAACCGGATTTTTCCCCCACAGGCCGGTAAATGCATCGAAAAAAATGGTAGAGATTCGAGGACTCCGATTTGGCTAATTCTGAAGGTGGCTAATGGTGGCTTGGTGGTTAATTCTGAAGGTGATGTGAATGATGTTCCTCCTCCTACGATTGTGCAGGATACTGTCAAATGGGAAGTTGTCGACTCTGCTCTGGTGCCTGTAATGCAAGTGGATCTGTTGACTATGACTAACAGTCTCCATGACCGGGAACCTCTTGAGGTGAAAGTAGTCCCTCTAGCTCAGCTGTATGTCGATGTGGCAGGTAGAGAAGTCAAATTCCCCATTGACAGTGGCGCGGGTCTTACTTTTATTGATGAAGTCTTGGCGACTAGGCTCTCCGCTTTGAGCAATCAGTCTTTTAGACGACTTGCACGTGAGCTAAGGGTGGTATTTGGCAATGACCACAAGTTGTTGGTATCCCGAAGATTGGGATTACCCCTAACGGTAATCCGACATGAGAAGAAGGAATGTGTCCTGGTGAGCTTCGTCATCATGCCTAATCTTAACCCTTCTGCTCTGATAGGAAGGCCAGAAATTTGTGGCCTAGCTTTGTCCGTGCATGGTTCTGTACCTACTCAGACAGCTAACGAAGTGGCCGTCTGTAGCATTGATCCGCTGGAGACTATTGAGGTGGCTGATAAAGGAAAACGGCTATTGGCACATTGTTCCAGGTTGGAGGAGTCTAGACCGGAATTTTATGTAGAACCCCTACGTCGTCGGCCTGATCGCGAGAGAAAGGCTATCTATGGATTGTTGTGTCTTATGGAAAAGGAGGACAAGGTGGTGCGGTTACAACCTGGACAAGCATGGACTTGATGAGATTGTCTTAGTTGTGAAGAAAGGTGCAGAGTAGTGGAAAGGCTTTCCCGGTATTTTGGATGAAGAAGATGATGAGCTATTATTGGTTCATTTCAGGGTTACTTTAGACCTGCGCTTTACGAATAAGATTGGTGCGACTACGCCTACTTTTAAGACCAAAAATGAAAGTAAGCTCTCTCAGTATGGCGTTCATGATCTGTTTGGATCTCTTTCTAGTCATCATGGTGCCCTCTTTGGTCGTATTGATTTGCGGGATGCGTTTCATCGGGTGTATATTTCCAAAAAGATGCAACAACTTATGACTACCCAAGTGCTCGATGACCAAGGTGTTGAGGTGATTTTCGCTTGGAATAGATTGCCTATGGGCTATAAGCAATCTTCAGGCTTGTTTGGCCGATCGGTGGAATTGGTGCTCATTGAAGCTCGTAAGGCTTTGAAGGAGCTAAGTATTGACTGTAGTCTTCGTAGCTTTCAAGATCATTGTATAGTAGCCGGACCTACGGCATCGGCCGTGAGTAAAGCTCTAGATGTTCTCATACGGGTAGTACGAAGCTATGGTTTTGAATGTCGGAATTCCATGGTTCAGCGGGTTACTGATCATTTGGTTTTCTGTGGCCATCAGATTTTTGGGCGTGAGAGTGGGCTGCCTTTGCTTACTCCCTCTTCACAGCGACGAGATTTATCTTCAGCTGAAATCGAAGCTGAATGGGAGATTTTCATCAAGAAGTGTAAGTCCTCATTTGCTAAGCTCAAGTTCTTGCGAAAATGGGCTGGTGTATTCTGGTGGTTTAGTCATTGGTTGGGTGGCTTAGAACAAGATGCTCTCCGCTGTCTCAATAAGGCTGAGAAGTATCTGCAGAATAATTATGCTGTGATATCTTTGTACCATCTAACATCTTTGTATTTGGGTGATTGTATTGCTACGTTGATTGTTGCTGAATCTAATGTAGAATCATGGTATGGCGGTATTTTGGGAGTGGTGACTGTGGACTCTGATAATGCTTGTCCAGCTCTGTTTCCGGAACTTGAGGAACGACTTTATGATATAAGTCCTTGTTATGATCTTTTCCCTATGCCTCCTACTGGGAAGATCTATAGAGTTCTTCCAGCTCGGCTCTGTGGTGGAGTATGGAAGAAGAGGGAGCAGCTGAGAAGTTCAACGTGGAGAGAGCGAGGAGCTCAGCTGCAGTGTGCATCTGAGAACCTGGATGCCCTGCGTGGGGACCATGTTATTAGTTCGCATGATAATGCTAATTTTTGTAAGACTTAACGAGATGTTCAGGGTGACTTTGGCTATGCTTCTGAACCGTACGCTGGTGTGGATTAAACGTTGGGGGCTTTTCGAAGCTTATGTTGATAAATGTGTATGGTTGCCTCGTGAAGGGGATGCTCTTTGTTGAACAGATATGTCTGCCCGAAAGTTGGCTGCTGGTGGTTCTGCTGATGGTATGATCAGTGACGTGGAGATCGCGCCTGTTGACGTCAACGATTTCTCCGGACAACTAAAAGTGGATGATATGACGAAAGAAGAAGTGAATGATATCTATGGCTGCTCAGTTGTTTCAGACGACAAAATGCATTCTATTTTCGTGACCTTCTCAGGCCAACCCAGCTATGAAGATGCCCTGTCGTGGTTGTCGTCGCTGCAAAAGGAAGACGAGCAGTTGGCCGATATTCGTGTTTCCTGTGAGAAGGAACACTAAGAAAGTCGAGAGTTCTTGATGGAGAAGGACTGCTTATTTCATCTAGGTCGAGGGCGGGCTAATGAGCCTGTTATCAAACAAGCTGTGTTGCCTGATTGTGGTGGTCTTCGCTCAACTATTTTGGCAGAGTCTCATGAATATGGGATTCATGGCTCTGCACAGTTGTTGTCCGGTATGGTGCAACAAGCTTATTGATGGCCTACATTGCGCAAAGACTGTAAGGTCTTTGTAAGAAAATGTGAAGTATATCAGCGCTCCACTACAGTGCCAACCAAACCGTTATGCAAATCACCTTTTTTGAGGTAACTTGCTCAATAAGGAGAGTTTATCAATGATCTTTGGAGGGTGTACTGATAATGAGAGTGAAAATCGATTGACACCGTTTCAGAACCGTTTCATCATCCATTGTTATGTTATGGGCGCACGAGAATTTCCGGACCCTTTTGACCGACCCAAATCGTTATGCAACTCAATCATGCTGGGCTATTCTAGGAGTATTTAGGTAGGAGTATTTCACAACAAGGACAATTTACTGGTGGATACAGATATCATGCTCGTATTCCCGATGTTGTTGCTCGTTCAGACTCGAGCCGTGGTGACACTGCTAGTATTGCCGATTATCATTTTGATAAGCAGTCCTCGGCTGATGAAGCTAGTAATGTGCGATCTATGGGAGTGACATCTTCTCTACCGTTACCTGCAGGTGGGAAGGTGTTCTCTGGACGGAGTGATCCAAGACCCATATCTCTCTTTCTCAAGGAATGGCTGCAAACTTGTAAACTGTATGGTCTTTCCTTGGATAACTGTTGGAGGTTTCTACTCAAGTGCCTCTCTCCCAGTGGGAGAGAGTCTCTCCCAGTGGGAGAGAGTCTCTCCCAGTGTCAAGAGCGAGCTCGCTGATATGCTTGAAGAAAGGCATCTTTTACTTGAAGGTGCTATAGAGAGTAGACTAGCTGCTGCTGAGACCTTTTTGCGTTCGGCCTTTGACGTAACGAATGATAGTATTCGCTACCGAAATCGTCTGTCGCAGGTTAAACAACAGAGTAGAAAGAGCTCATTGGCGACTACATTGGTAGACTACGAGAAGGTGTTATGGAGGGTAAATGTATTGGCCTTACGATTACACAGGATGAGATCTTGGATAAGTTCGTTAAGGGTCTGAAGCCCAATTACCAGAAAGCAGTCAAGGCTACCTACTCTCACATAAGAGATGTAAACGAGTTGTTCTCTGTGCTCAGTCTTTGGGAGAATGCAAACATTGACTCTTCAGTGAATGCTGTTGCCGATGAAGCAGGAGATCTTGGAGCTACGGTATCACCGCCGACGATTAATGCTACTTTGGAGGTGGCGAAGAACTCTTCATCTGAGGTGAAAGGAGAGAGACCCACTCGATCTAGAGGGCCTCTCAGGTGCTGGCATTGTAGTTATGTTGGGCATGTTAATGATGTTCTGGCCCTTGCAGGAGAGTGCTTGTACTGTAAGGTTGGTGATTCGTCAAGTGGAGGGATTACATGGCTATGCTGCCAGACTTCCAGCTCTACTTGATACTGGTGGCCATGGATCTGCTTATATGAATGCAAATGTGTTCAAGGATATGGTCAAAGAAGAAATACTTGACGGCCATCTTGATCCATGTGGTAATGTGACCTTTGGTAATGGAGATTATGCTCGAGTTTTTGGGTGCTTTTAGTGTGAATATTGAGGACGAGGTCAAGCATGTAATTGTGGATGATGTTGAGGTCAAAGTTATTGAGGGGCTGTCGCCGGATTTTATAATAGGCATTGAGACTATTAAGCGCTCAGTGGATCTGAAACCGAAACTGATAGAATGTCTTGGTGATGAACCCGGTATGAGCTCTGGTTTGGCCCAGATTGCATTGCTTGATGGGAATGGTGATAAGCTTGATGTTCTGCATCCTCTCGATGTAAGGGACAAATGCTTCATTTATCATAGTGAGTCAGGGTTTACTGTCTCGTGTCCTGCCCTCAGTGGTATCTCGGTGATGCCATTTACTGAGTCCAGGCGGAAGCGTAGCCGCACTCGAGAGATAGCGATCCACCGAAGGCTCTGTATTGCAGCTAATGAGAAGAAATTTGGAGCGGCAACTTTCAAGGAGGCTATGGTGATCAACGAGGTAGTCTTGGTTGATAAGGAGCCTGGTTCTAAGGACTCATCACTGACTCAGTCCGATATCTGCTCGATGAGTGATGAACAGATTAAGGCCCGTTTTAGAGTGAACTTGGATCTTAGAAGACTTAATGCTATGCAACTGGTTCCGAAAACGGCTCCTGATAAACCGGGTGGCTATGTGTGGGTTATGAAATCTGATGTCGCATCAATTCCTAGGAGGAGTGGTGAGGTTACTCAATCTCAGGATGGGGCTCTGAGCATTTTGCGATTGCGGCCGCCATCGATGAGAAAGTTAAGATTGACCTAAGTGATGCCTTCTCATCCGTTCATTTGGATGATGACCTTTGGCCTCTCTTTGCATGTAGGACTATTGATGCCAATGGTGTGGAGTGTCTATGGGTGTATACTGTATTACCACAAGGATGGCGATACAGCCCGGTCCTATTTTCAAGGGTGGTGGGGTCGGTTTTGGAAGAGGCCCGTATCATCTGTAAGAAAATGGGACTAGCCGTGAGACTGATCCATTTTCAGGATGATACTCTGTTAGGAGGCGGAGATAGGGATAGTGTTCTCCAAGCAAAAAAAGTCTAGATCCTACGACTAGATCCTAGGAGCTCGAAGGCAACATCTTTGGTGAAGGAGCTTGCTCGTTACTATTTATCGGGGCTGGTTCGCCTCTACGTCCTTGGTAATGGAGAGGGCTGTCAAGAGGCTGGCACGGCCATAATGGTTGATTGTAATAAGGATGCCTGGGCTGCCATCATGTTTCAACTTATCATAATCAAGAAGAGTGAGATTGCGGATATTGGTCCCCGAGCTATAAGGCTGGCATCTCGCTCTTGATGGGTTGGCCATTAATATGTGCTCTGAAATATCTCTAGAGCTGGTCGATGATGAGGTATGTATGCTACTCCCGCTCTCTCTCGATGGTGGTTTAGTGACGGACGAGGATATGATTCGCTCTTCAACTTCCCGTGAACGTAAAGCACAGTTGTTAGCTCTGAATAGGTTCCTTCCTCTATGCACCTCTCCTGTTGTGATGATTGGTGATAATGCTAACACTGTTGGTGGTCGGTATTGGCATACTCTAGAAGCTGATCATGCGGCTACCGAGCTGGATCTTAGGATGATAACTGAATACCATCGGACAGCTGATGCTACATTGTGGGTGCCTCGTCTTTCAGTGGTTAAGCTTGTGGATTCCATGGCAAGGGTCCTACCACAGGATCTTGCCTCTGGTGATGTCACTGAGGTTGATCCTCTGAATATCTCAAGTACTCTTTTACAAGAAGACGCTATTGGTGAGTTTTATTCTGAGACATTGGATGTGCTTGGTGATGATGATGACGATATAGCAATTGAACCATTTCAGTGTCCCCGTTACTGTGACCTAGATGCAGTCAGGGAAGCTCAGCAGACATGTGCTGAGGTTCAAGCTCTTGCCGAAGGTAGCGGCTTCATCAAAGATGATGATGGAGTTGTTTTCCGGGTCCAAAGGTTCAATGCTTTGGGTAGTATTGTTAAGCAACCTGTACTGCCTGTCGACGTCAGGAAGGAATTGGTGATGCAAGCGCATGCAGACTGTCATGCTAACTCGAGACAGCTGAAGTTTCTGCTCTCGGATTGGTGTTGGTTTCCGAAGATGGGGAACCTCTGTCGTTATGTCTGTCAAGCTTGTGGTGTATGTCAAGTGACTGCTTCGAAACAAGGCCGAGAACTGGCTCCATACGGTACTCGTCGTCCTGTGGAGGGTATGGCGGCGACATGGCAACGTGTAGGAGTAGATGCCCTTCATGTTGGTTCAGGGGAAAGCTCTTAACCTGTACTTGCTGGTATACTGCCTACTGTGACTTTCAAATCGTTCCTGATACTAAGGCGGAGTCCTTAGTATGAGGGATGACTTTGATTTTCATGCGTTGTGGATTTCCAAGGGTATGTTAAACTGATGGTGAATTCTCGTCAAGATTGGTTCAGTCTTGGGCTGAGAGTGTGGGCATATCTTGGAATATACATCCCAGTAATCATCCTGAAGCAGGTTATTATGAACGACGGCATAGGATAATATTGGAAGCTTTGAGGAAGTTCGTCCTTAGTGATGGTGGCTCAGACTGGCATGACGAGTTGGTCTTGGAGCAAGTTGAGTGGCTGGTGAATCATGGTGAAATCGGTCAGAGTGGCATTTGTCCTGCCTTGCTATTTTATGGTCGCACCTTGCCAGTTCCTTGTATGAAGGGTGCTGATGATTCATTGGTATTATCAAGGCCGAACTCCGTATTTGACTTGATGAAGGTTGCTGATGCAGTCGGTGGGAATCGGCGAAAACTCCTCGGTGTATTCGTCAAGGAGTGGCTTCTCCAGCGAGAACGGTCTCTGCCAGTGATCAAGTATGAGAGCAACCTCAAGCCCGGTGAAATGGTTTATGTTTTCACAGAGAGAGCTCATAGATTATATCCTACCTTTCGAGGCTCTTTTCCAGTGTTGGCTACGAGAGGACGTCATGTGATGGTAACTACATCAAATGGTGTCGAGACTCATTGGCTTGGTAACTGTAAGCGTCATCATTCAGACGAAGATGTAGCAGCTGACCCTGCACAGTCGCAGTCCTCGGGTGCGAGTGACTCAACTAACCAGCAACTCCAGATACGTGCTCCAAAGCGTGCGCGAGCTGAGAGTTGGACTGCAGAGGCTGCTGACCGAGCTAAGAAGTCAGCGAGGATGTAAATGCTTGCTATCTCATTTTAGGGGGCTGTTATGTAGTGAACTCCCTCCGACAAGGATACCGTATGTAATTTGTGATATTATTGTGTAATTATCTGAGCTAGGCTGTGCATTTGTCTCTCCTCGCTAGATGATGTTTTGAACGTATTACGATATTGTGGTGCATATTTGAGCATCAGATCAGTATCTCTTACTATATCCCTGTTACTGGCTGAAGTATGGTTTTGTTGAGTCAAGAGGGCAATCACAACAACCGGGAGTCGTCATGTTCATGAGCACCTAAGTCTCCACAGGAATGTGCCGTCCTACTTGGTCTCAGGTTGGATGCTGCTCTGTCCATGTCCAACCACTTTGATTACGTTTTGAGGTAGGTCTCCGTGAAAACTGCACAGCTACTACGGCTACAACCCTACTTGGACACTTCTCAACTCGCGAGATGATTCAAACAATACAGTTGGCAATACAGTACAATACTTCTCGAATATGGTTTGCCCGGCTTCATCCATGCCCCCGATGCTCAACTGAAGAGACTTGACGCGTGTCAAGATCGTTTCATCGAGCTTACTGGATGTACGCTGCCTAGCCTGGCGTGGCGCCGATTTGTGGGGATGATGTCTTGGCTCTATAAAGTAGTAGTCCTCAGAGATGGCCCTCCATCCCTAGTGTCGCGTTTTATACTGATAGACAATCATTCCTGTAATACTCATAGCTCCACTCGGCTGAAGAGCAAAAAACACGGGTATCAGTTGGTGGTTTCGAAGGAGAATAGCGATTTAACCATCGTCTAACCATCTAACTATCGTCGGTGGATTAGGGCCCTCGCTGTGGAACTCCTTAGCGGCCTGAGTGGTTCCTAACTGAACGCAATTGGAAGGACGATTTCAAACGCGCCGTGCCAGCGTTGAACCATCTTTTTGTAAAAAATCTCAAGTTTCATATAACGCATAGGCGCGGAGTAGTAGCTATAATTCCACACCTCGGGATAAAACGATGCAGACCACATTCAGGACTATGGTAACACTCACCATCCGGTAGTGGAGGATGATGCCCTGCGCTTACCTGCCGTTTGAACGCTAGAAATTGACCAAGTCGCTCACGTCAACAGCTGTGCCTCTGAGACTTGCTCACTACGCAGAGTCCTCCCACAACAGAAAGCACGATCTACGATGATGTACATGGTATACAATCTAAGGATCTGCGTAGAGGAAAGTTAATGCTACTTTATTAGGAATTGTGATACAGTGATTAAGAAGATGGTATAGCATAGATGTGATCCAGGATCAATTTGTCATTTTTTTACTCTTCGTAGCGAATTTGCTCCTTTCGGCAAGCACTTTGCGCAAAGTTCAAGTAACTGCAGAAATTGTAAGGTTTCAAGTTTCGCGTAGGGTTGTTCTGTGATCGATCCCGGGATCAATCTTCACGATTAATCTTCCAAATCGGTCCCCGGACTGATGTCCTCAAGCTTTGCCCCACTCTCAAATCTTCACTTTGAGAGTCATCCCGTCTGCTGTTACATAGTGCTCAACTATTACCCCAAGGGAGCCTGTTCTGGTTAGCTAAGAGGGACTATACATTGACATATCCTCCCCGAAGTGACTGACTGAACTCAAGATTATCATAGTACGACGAGATCGTCATTATCATGATGATGATGATGATGATGCTACATGATGATGATCGTTTATAATGTCTCTAATATGCATGGACCAATCGATTAGTTCTGACCATACCTCCCTTAATGCAGGTATCTGATCCTCTACTCACACACCTATCCTCAACCACTCAATACTACTACTACTTATCAGCAGCCTCCAACAATATACTGTGTACGCTATCATTCAACGACTCGAGCTGTTGTTGTTGTTGCCCCCGCCCTTGAGTGGAGAATCTTCTTTCTACACCATCTACACAGCACAGCATACCTACTATATGTATTGGAACTCGACTATTACTACTACCTTCTTCCTCTCTACCGCTTGAGTGTTGGCTTATCCTACCATTATTGGCCCTTTTCTCGAGTCGTCTTGTCTCATGTTGTATCCCAACAACTTCTGCAAACTGCCTCCCTTTCCTCACAACATTCCCGCATACCTGGGATTATCCAATGCCAATCTACTACTACTATTATCATCGTACTATTACCTTAGCCAATACTTGCTCAATCTCCCCATCATTATTATCAAGGACTGTGGCTAGATCTCTAATATCCTCTCCAGTATTCATTATTCTCCCCTCCTTTTCCTTAATATCGACATCAGCAAGACTAGTGGCCTCAGTAATAGCCTACCATGATGATGATTATCATCATCAGTACCTCTATTGACACACCCCCTTGCTGGATCCTACCGCTAACTTCCTTTGTAGCCCAGTTAAGTTCCTATTAATATTCATATCCTTTTTAATCCTATTAGCTCTTTGATCTCCATCATCCCCCTTAAACTTGAACTCAATAATATCCCTCTTCTCCACAGCCCGTGTCATCTCCCTCACTAACTCCTCCTGTTTCCTCAATAACTGGTTGTATCGTAACTCCATCCTATGCATCTCCTTCTTCATTATACCAATAGTAGACTGTCCAACACTTGGGTCTAGACCCTGTTGTAGTTCCTGATAGTAAAGAGTAGTAGTAGTAGGATGACGGTTATGATCATCATAATATGATGACCTCCTTGAATATCATTATTACCTCTTCTAAAGTAAGCTTCTTCTCCCATTGTGTCATCTGCCTCTCACACTCTATTAAATCCTCCTCCAACTTCAGTCCAGTATCCTTACTACCATCTACCGCCTTATATACTACACCTATTAGCAGCAGCATCAGCAGTAGTACATATACACTGTAAAGTGGGGGAGAGGCGGGCCGACTACTCCTACCTATATCCTCCTCCTTCTTAGACAAGCTATCAAGTACTCTCCCTTGAACATCCTTCATATCTCTATTTACACTATCAACCTTATCCCTATACTCCCCTATTCCTAAGCATCATAATCATTATCATCATAATCCTAGTACTACCTCCTTTTATTACTCTTATTAATCCTCTTTAGATCCTCCCTAAGCCGCCTTATCTCTCTATCACACACCACCTTATCATTCACCTTCTCCTTCATCACTAGCTCTAATCTCCTCATCTTCTCCTCTAATATCTAATAAATGATTATGACCAAAGTACTCCCTCCCCCCAAAGTGGTAGTAGTATTATTACTATTATCTTAGTAAGAGTACATCATCCTTCTCCCTATCTGCCTTTCCTCATCATTTATACCATCAAGTCACTTTGTGACAT